CCGATTCCGGAGCGACATCCTCCATCTCCGTCTCTGTGTCAGGGACCGTTTCTGGCTCAAAGGACTCCGGCTCTGCGGTGACCCGAGCCGGAGGGCCACCCGGTCCAACCGCACTCACTACTGCTGGAGTAGTAATAGTAGCAGCAGCCTTCTGCGCCGCAAGCTCCTGTGCCGCAAGAATTTCCCGCGACGGACTCCCCACCGAAAGCTTGCCCCTACTCATCCGCATATCCACGGGAGCAGTGCGTTTCCTAATGGGCACGCGCCGCTCCGATTCGCGTTTCTTTCGTTCGATCGTCGGAGGGAGGATAGAATCGTAGTTTTTGAGAAGGTCAATAAGGAACACTGCGACGGAGGTCAAACGTCATTGATGTCAATGATATTAGTGTGAGAGACATACACGTTGGGTGACGATCTTGAATGGAAAGTTCTGTCTCGACTTTGGGTCGAATAATCGCTGTGCGCAGTGGTTAGGAGGAATAAAGTAAATCCAAATGGCGGACGTCAGAACACTCACTTCTGCCAACCGACAACGCTAACTTCGCAATGTACATATCATCATCCTCTTCTGTACTGGTCGTGTCGATGAGTCTGCAATTACGAAAAGAATGCGGTAAGCACGCCGGGAACGACGATGGTTCCATTATACGAGATTTGCACTCACTTGCGCAAATGTGTGACTATGGTGTCGAGGACGAAGAGGCTGACTTTTGGAACGCGCAGCAAAGCAGCTTGTAAATCCTGTACATGTTGCTGTTCTGACGTCTCGTCGTCGAGTTTGGTGGACCCAACTATCGACCACATCCCAATCACGGTCAAGCACCTTACACGTACGGAACAAGGCAGACATACCAGTCGGATACAACTTCCTAATTTCGTCCCAGCCCTCCCATAACATTAGAGGCGGATCGAGTTCAAGCGCCCAGAGCTTCACACATCCCGCCAGAATAGGTGCGTCGAATCTAGAAAGCATCTCTTGTGAGAAAGGCTGATCCGGTGGAATGGCATTCAAGCTTTCGCGAAGATGGTGGAGGGCTGGGAGTGGGACATCATATATCCATGATTTCCGTCTCTCTGCATGACATCATGTCAGTTCGTGAGTGAAGAGAGCAGGATCATGAAAGAAAGGACATAACCGTCATCATTAGGGAGATTCCCATATGCATATCTTAACGCATCCAAAAGCGCAGTAAGTACAGGAGGAATATAATCTTTCTTCTCCTCGCCGGAAGTGAGCGCAGACCAGCCGCCTTCGGCCCACTTGCGAAGATCAATACCGAAAACGACATCCGATTCATCATGTGCGACGGATTCGTACAATTTGGGAACAGGTCGGAATGGGCCCGTACGGTATTGTTCAATAAGCGCTGTCAAATCCGATTCGGGCTGGTAAGTCGTAATGAATGTTGCGGAACGCTCTAGAGTCGGTTCGAGAGCTTTAGGCAGATTGGCCAGCGTTCCTTGGTATTGGTGGAGAACTATATGCGGTTCCGATGGAATGGATCAGCAAACATCGCATGTACACAGGACTCAGAAGAAACACTGACCAGTTTTCACAGCCCTCAAACGTTCCGCCTCGCCTCTCTGAAGCGTCTTCAACACTTCCTCAATTCGCTCCTCCAAACCCAATCGTTGCCTATCCAACTTGCGCACCGCAACGCGATACATCTTGTCAGCCTCCTCCGCCTCCTGGCGTAACCTCACGTATGCAGGCTCGTTCTGGGAAGTTGCGTTCAAAGCCTTGGTCACAACGTTTACCAAATTATTGGACCGCTTTATTATATTATCCGCGATCTGGCTTCGTTTCGGTGGGTTGACAGTCTCTGGAGCCTTGCCCTCCAGATCGAATGCCTTAAAAATAAATCATAAAATTCAAGCATTCGTTTGGATCAAGGAGCGGACGAAGGCTTACCTTGGGTCTAAATTGATAATAACTATCATCCGCATGTTCGAATTCGTTGCCAAATTCTCCAACACGACGCAGCAAGCCCTCACGCTCAGTTAACTCCTTCGCAGCGTCTTCCGCAATATCGAGGTTCCCTTCAAACGTAGGAACATTCTTGTTGAGCCATTCTACAAACTCAGCACCGGTGAAGCAATCTGGGTATTCGCCGAGAAGAGGGAACCGCACGGGCCTAAGGGGCATTTCAGCCGCAGCGCGGGTGAGTAAAGTCGATAAAGCCGAAGGCGGGAATGAAACCCCGGCCATTATGATCGAGACTGGGTTAGTTGAGGGCTGCGGTGGCAATGATGTGTCCAGCTTGGCAGGTGGCAACGGAGGGGACATCGGAGGTGGTGAGGACAGTTCCGTGGCCTTTCCTTTGCCTTTGTCCACCTTCGGGAATTCTTTCTCCCCTTCGGTGACGTCTGTGCCGGCGTCAGATTCGTTCGTGGCGGAGCTGATAGACCCTGCGGCTCTGCGTTGAATTTCTTTAAGGCGCTGTGTAATTCGTTCGGAAACAGTTGCGGAGCGTTGGGGCGTGCGTGTTGTATCGCGAGGCGCAAGGTGTGGAGATGTTGTGTAGTGGTCGCTCACATCATTTCCCGGTGCGAACCGCGCTCTGAAGGTAGCGTGTTGAGCAAACGGAGATGATGAACAAGAAATAAAACGCACTCATCCTCAGCTTCGTCTGCTTTACGGGTTTTGGTTAGATATGAGTTTTTCAATTTGATAACCTACAAGTTGGCGACGAAGTGTCAGAATAGGGATTACCCGTGAGCAGGGTGTGCAAACCTCTTTCTGTGCATCCTCATAAGCGTGCACCCAGTTGTGTAACACTTTGCTTTTACTAGACGACAGTTGTTCCTGAATTCATCGATGTGAGCACGCACATATTCGTTACCGCATACATCACCGGCATGCGATACCATACCTTGTACGTCTGAGCCCACCTATTGAACGGTTCCGCAACGAGGGCTTGAAGGTCGTTTGCAATTTCTTTGTGAACTTTACCTTGGGCAACCGATTCGTCCTGCAAGCCGCGGAATGTCATGAGCAGTGACGCGCCGTCATCCCTGTTAAAGCCGGTGCCTGAAATAGGGTTTGTCAACGGTTACGTTGGGAGTTAAGGGTGGCAGACGTACCTGGTGAGCCGATGGTTGGTGGGTTGAGTAGAGCATTGGCAATCTGGTTCTCTGCCTGAGCACGAGCCTGTGTGGAGTTGCACCATGGTCAGTACGAGTGAAGAGAGCGAACGGCAGAAGAAGGAAGCCGTCTCACCAAAATAAAAGTGATTATTTCGTCGTTCTCAGCGATGCCCTGTCGCAACCAGTCAAAAGAGGGCAAGAACAATATGAACCGGGGGTGGGCACACCTGTTCCAGTTTGCCATATAACACTTCGAGACCCTTGCGATAGTCTTGGGTCCAAAACGAATTGGCGAAAGTTAAAGGCAGCGATATGACTGCCATGATTCAGATGAAAGTATGTGTCTTTGTTCGAACACGAGGTGTTCCGGCGGGTTAGAGGGTTTTCACCGTGCTCAACGGATTTAGCGTTGTCGGGGCTGTGCCGGTTCCTAGTTCAAGTATCTCTCTGCACACCACTGAACACCCCGCTCAGTAGCCAGTGTCAGTTGCGACGGTTGTGTCCTGTCCGTGGCATTGACGCCGACGGGTGTTTCCGAGCTTTTTACGGTCGCGGCTCCGCAAAGATCCTGGCTGTCTTAACAACGCAAGATCTGGAACATTTTCCACCAAGAACTCAGAACAAGAAAAGTGACTTTTGATTCCGAACACGGGCTGCTCTTCAGCCGTCCTCGCCTTTGGCACCAACGGATAGGTCTCGGAGCGGTGTTGATGCCGACACTAGTTGTTCCTGGATTTGCATGCAAGACATTACATACCTGTTGAGCCCACTGGTTCCCAGTAGTGTGAACTTGGCTGGCCTTGGAACTGTGCTTATGTGTCTATTTGTATCTGAACACCTGCAGGGTTACATATCTGCACCTCCCTACTTGTGCATTATGTGGAAGTTGCTGTCAGTGCCCATGTTGGTCTGTTAATGTGTCGAGGTGTCATAATGTTAGCCCTCTGGGTGCCCCCGGATGCAGGTGGCTGGGAACATTTAGAAAATATCTCTAGTATGGTTACATCTGTCACTGGTACTCTATATACAGAAAATATGTCCCATCAGTCCAGATTCTACAGAAAATATGTCCCATCAGTATGGAATATACAGAAAATATGGTCTATCAGTTCAGAATTACACAAATTCTTGGCAGATTGCAGTGTGAATGATTCACACTACAAAGGATACCTTTCTGTGAGCAGGATTATGTTGGGTAGTAGATTTCATAGCTGGGGGAAGGGGTGAGATGTTGTTAGATGGATACATGGAAAATGTCTTACAAGTTGTTGATGATGATGTGAAGGATAGGTGGGATGCATAATGAGATGGAGCCACAGACATGTCCACTGAGAGCCCAGACAGCATCTACAATACCCAAGCAGTAGAACATGGTGACAGGCAGAGTGCTGTGATGGGGGACAGTCATGAAGTTGAGTGATATAGCCAGCCATTGTCATTTAGTGATCTTACTCAACTTCTGCAAACAAAGGGTGCATGGAGGGTTTCTTTGCATGTATGAAATGGAACCCTTGCAATTTGTATTTGAAGAGGGCTAGCATGTGGCTGGGGGTGAGGGTGCAGCTGTGGAGGCTGGTGGTATTGATTAGTGCATGGTGATGGAGGGTGAGGGTAGGGTACACACAGAACAGGGAGTCAGCAGTGAAGAAATTCATGACAACAGTAGAGTGGAATTGAAAGATGGGAGAGAGGGCAGATGATGTTTTTGACACTACAATGTTGATGTGTTTTGGCCTGTTCTTGAAGGTGGTGACAGTGAAGATGGTGGAAGGGGAGTAGTTGTTGTGGTTAGTGTGGCCTTCACATACAATGTTATAGTGATGCTTGCATAGAAGGTTGTAGAGTTGTGGTTGGCTGTTATATGGGATGTTGTCACACACCAAAGGTGTTTGGTGACTTGGACATGGACAATGCTGATGAATGGAGATGAAAGACTAGAGCCCTAATGTGAAGAAAGATAGCCAGGAACATTGGCAGTCATCCTTCACACAAGAACAAGTCATCAGTGCCAAAGAAAAGAGAAGGAAGCAGGTTAAGTGCCTATAAAAATTCTTAGTGCCCATGTACAGCATTCTGGTTTCTGACATATCTCCCCCATTTCTGCAGATACTGATGCATTCCCACACTTGCTTATAGTGCTCAGCCATGTGATCCTACCTTCCAAAATTGGGAAAGATCCTCATACTCCACATGTTTCTACAGCACTCCCTCCAACAGATGCTCATTTCACTAATTCTTCTGATATGGCCACCTCTACATCAATCATCTCACTTGTCCCCTTTGCTAGGGACCATGGCTATGTATATTTATCAGGGATTCCTACTAGCTTCTGTCCTGAAGCATCCTGGTACATCCCATCCTTGTCTGCCCCCTCTCAGCCCATCCAGTTTGGACAGTGTGTTCTTTTTGTCAGTATGACCTCCAGGAGGACATTCTTTGGTTGCCTCAGGTCTGTCATTTGGTTAGAAAGGTCTTATGTGGATGTTTCAGTCTCTCCAGTCCAAGAAGCATATGGATCCTTCCTCCCTGCTCCCTGCAATGTCTTCATACCAGTCTTGTCCATCGTTCTTCCAAAATTGCAACAGCTACAGTATAATCTACTGTTCTCCACTCCCTGATCACATCCATGATGAGTATGATGCACATTTTGCCCTCTTGTTGCAAGATACAGTAGAAGACACTCCCCCTGCATCCTCTCTTCCAACAGAGTCTCATTCATGAAGTTTTATTTGCTTCACTGAGAGGACAGTTGGGGGGAAAGTTGCAATCCCCTATGCTCCTGTCACCCCACAGACCCCCAAGGCTTGACCCCCTTTTGGTACCTGACACCTGCCATCCCCTTTTGGATGTACTATATTGGCATCAGATCAGCACTGCCTCTCTGTCATCCCACCTTGGCCTAGAAGCAATTCCTTTGAGATGTGACATGCACAGCCTCCCCCTAATGTGATTCCAGTGCACTTTCTCAGCTTCTGACATTGCTTGACTCATATTTTGAAATTCTGACTATCCTTGACTCACCTATTGCAAATACTTACCAAGCTTTTGACTTTGCTTACTGATTCTTCACCTTTTGGCTTACTTATCCTTACCAATGCTCAACAATGCTTTCTAAGTTGATTACCCACTGCTTACATTCCTTACTTATCAGTTACCAACCACTTACCAAGTGTTTACACCTTGTTTTCCACAGGCAATGCCCCTGTACTGTATATAAATCACTGTACTTAGGTAGAAAAAAAAAGAGACATCAGAGAGCCCCTCTTGCTCACCTTTCATCATCTCTCAGAAATTCATTCATCAGCTTTGTTAGTTGAGACTTTATTAAGGGTCTAACTATTGTCTACTTTGCCTATTGTTGTCTATCATCAATATACTTCACTCCAAGTCCTCCCTAAGCTCAGAACAGCTTAGGACATCAAATTAAGTCATCATCCATCCTTCTGTAGGCTGACAGCAGTCTACCCTATTGCATCCTCTCACATTCTTGCTCCCTCTTCATCAGGAGCACCCCCAACCCTCAGTGCTCATCTTTGAGTGTTGTAACTTGCAAAAACCCACCTGAACAAGAGCTTCCACCATCTAGATACCACATAGGCACACCACCACTTGCTTTCTTTGTCTTTTGTGTTGGTTTTGGTTGGTTTACACCACTGAACCTCACTTTGACTCACAATGTATATGTCAAGGTCAGAAGATGACCAATTGCATGAGTTGGTGGGTAGTAACATCCAAAGGGCAGTGGATCCTGACACAACAGCATTGCATGCAGAGAGCATGTTGAAGAGATGTGCTGTGCAAGGGAAGAAGGGGCTGCAGATCATGTTGAGGCAGTGGTTCAGATAGTGTCTGACATGCTTGGCATTGGTGGTGGATGTTGATGTGAGGCCAGCAAGTCTTTTATATCACAGTACTTGAGCATGAGTTGTAAGAGATTGGCATTGCTGTGGAGTGGGAACTCAGATGTCAGTTGATGGAGGGGGGGCATTGTGTGTGTTGCCATGAGATGGTGTTGGTTAGCAATTTATGTTGAAAACAGTGGTGAGGTCATTCTGTGGTATAGGGGGTGAGGTCAGGGGGCAGTCACTTAGAATCTAGAAATGGTTGTTGGAAATACATTGGTTTTGGTGCAGTACAGAGATTGTTTGAGGCACATTTTATTTTAGCAGAGTTTGTATGATGTTGGCAAGGGACAACACAGGGCAGTTGGGAAGAATCCAGAAAAAAAAGTCTAGTTCAGAGATTGTCAATTCCAATAAGTGAAGGTGAGTGAACAAGGATGGTCTGTTAATGACAAGAATGTCTATGTGGATGGGAAATGTTGGGAAGGGCCTCAATTGTGGTTGGGATTCCCCAAGTAAGGAAACTGGTTATTTAACCTGTGGTGGGATCAGACAAAGTCAACAGAGGATGGTAGGATGGGGAAATACATGAGAAGGGCCTCTAGTATGTGATGGAGGTCATTCTTGCACCAAATGTGAATGGGCAGGCTGTGGTAGTTAATGTGGATAAAGAGATATGAAGCTTGAGAGTGGAGATGTTGATGGCAGTGATGGTCAAAGAGGATGTGGAAGTGGAAGTTGTTGATGTAGATGTCAGTTTCAGAAAGAGTGTAGTTGACAGGGAAAATGTTGCTTTGGACCAGAATTTCAATGTCATTGTTGAGATGCTTAAAAGTTATGACCCATTGTCCACTGTTTTCATTTGCTGAGTAGAGAAATGCGAGGATAGATGCCATTCTTGTGGATTGCACAGGGGGGGAGGTGGGGGGAGGGCAGTGGAGGATGTCACAGCTCTTGTCTATTTATACTCTATGATGCATGTGGCCAATGGAAGAATGATGAGGTCAGAGTGGGAGATGATGGAGATGCTGGTGAGCAACACCAAAGGAAGGATTGATTGAGAGTCTTTGGATGATTGATTGGTGGTTAGGTGAAATTATGGTACCCTAGATTTCTAGTCTGTGTCACAACCATGCATTTATCCTAAGTCCCCACTCACTCTGCACCCTACTCTGCTGGTCATTCCACTCACTCTGCACCAACTCTGCCCATCCTCTGTTGTTTGCAAGTCTTCTCCACCCTGACTACTGTTGGACTTGGTATCAGCCTACTGTCAGACCATGCAGACCATCTTCTGGTGGGTCATGTGGCCCTTACCAGTCCAGCTTTTGGACTTCTCCTTGACAGCATGTGGTCAGGTACTCTGCAGTGTGTGCACCTCATGGTTCAGCACCTGGACTGTTTCTTCTTTAGGATGTTCTGTGTTACCCATTTCTGTGTCCTCTGTCTACCCTTCATTCATTGTCTAGGAGGTTTTACTT